GTCGGAGCTGGTGACTCACAGGGACAAGGAGGTGGCTCAGGAAGGGGCAGGGATTGGGCCAGGTGGAAAAACCCGTCTGGCCATGGCAAAGGGGACAGGAGCCCTCCACGACTCCTGCTGGGCCCCGGGAGCAGGGATGGCACAGCCCAGCCGGAGGGACTCTGTGGGCAGGGCTGGGGGGGGGCTCTGGGGCTGCTGGAAGCTGTCCCGTGGGAAGCAGCAGGCTCCAGGCTGTCCCAGCTGGAGACCTTGGCCCTGCTCACCTGGTGACCTGCTTGTGGAAGTCGGTGAGCTGTTTGTGTGTCACCTGGATGGCTCCACCCGTGGTTTCCTTTGGCAACCCCTTCAGTGAGTTCTCCAGCCAGCGGCAGAACGTCTGTGCCAGGGACACGGAGGAACTTGGGATGAGGAGCCAAACGTGGCTCCCGGGTCCTGCCTCGAGAGAGCTCTGGGGTCCCACGTGGCCATGGGGGCAGCTCAGGGCTGCAGCCCGACCCTTTGGGGGCTAATCCCACCCCTCTGGATTCCAGCCCGACCCTTTTTGGGGGCTCAGACCAGCCCTTTGGGGGTCCATCCCCTCCCAGGGGAGCTGAGCCCTCACCGGGCGGTCGATCTGCATGATCTCCCAGAGCACCTCGGCGACGTCAGGCAGGGTGTAGGGCGGGAGGCAGAAGCAGCATGTGTGCAGGAGCTGGTTCACGAGCTGCTGTCCCAGCTGGGTCATCACCTGGTTGATGAGCTCCTTCCGCACTTCGAAGTCTTCCTCGTGCTGTGGGAAGGAGGAGGAGGAGGAGGAGGTGAGCAGGGCCTGGGACAGGGACACACTCCTCACCCTGCAGGTGACTCCCAGAGCTTCTCCACCAGCAGAGTGGCTGGGAGGACCACGGGACAAGGATGATGGGGCTGACAGGGTTTGGAGCAACCAGGTCTAGTGGGAGGTGTCCCTGCCCCACGGCAGGAGGGGGGTGGAACTAGACGGGCTTTAAGGTCCCTTCCCACCAAACCACTCCCTGATTCCGTGATGACAACCCCATGGAGGAAGCACCCCCTGAGCAACGTCCCCACAGAGGAAGAGACCCCTGAGCAACGTCCCCACAGAGGAAGTGCCCCCTGAGGAAGGTCCCCGTGGGTCACCCACATCGTTGGCCACGCCGGTGTGGATGAGATCCCGCAGGAATTTCATGACGCTGCAGTTGGCGTCCCGGTGGTCCAGGGTGGTGGCAGCGATGGCCCACTGCAGGATGGGGATCATCACCTGGCTGCGCAGGAGGGTGACGGGGCTGCGCTGGATAAACCTGCCCGGGAGGACAGACGGGCGTCAGGGGCAGCTCCTGCCCCCTTCCCATCCCCTCAGGGACCCTCCCCGGGGCTGGGGGGCTGGGTGGGGCTGGGGGAGCGGGGGGCACCTGGCTGCCAGGCGGAACAGGTCATCCACAGTGTCCGGGTGGTTCTGGAGGCCGTTGGGCTGCTCGAGGAGCTGGAAGGTAGGGATGCAGAGAGCCTGGGGAGGGACAGGGATCCATCAGCAACTACCTGGGATAACTCCTCCAACTCCCCTTCCCTGCACGGGTTGGGGCTGCCCCATCCCTGGGAGTGTCCAAGGTCAGACTGGACAGGGCTTGGAGCAACCTGGGATAGTGGAAGGTGTCCCTGCCCACGGCAGGGGGTGGGACTGGGTGGGCTTTAAGGTTCCCTCCCACCCAAACCAGTATGATGCTCTACAGATTGGACATTAGGGAAAATTCCTTCCTGGAAAGGGCTGTCCAGCCCTGGCACAGCTGCCCAGGGCAGGGGCAGAGTCCCCCTCCCTGGAGGGATTTCAAAGCCCTGTGGATGTGGCACTTGGGGACATGGGTCAGTGGTGGCCTTGGCAGTGCGGGGGGAGGGTTGGACTCAGAGGCCTTTTCCAGCCTCAGTGATTTCATGACCTGGATGGGTGGGCCCCACCTGCAGCATGTCGAGCAGGCCCTGCCGGCAGCCCTCCTCCATGCCGTACTCATCCACCAGGATGCTGCCCAGGTAGAGGAAACAGGAGTGCTGGTGTTCCCGGTACACGTTCACCATCTAGGGAGACAGGAGCCCTGGCACAGTCACCCCCTGATCCACCCCTTGACCCTCCATCCCCCTCCAAGCCCAGCCTGAGCCGGTGTCCCAGTCTGTCCACAGTGGGCAGGGACATCCCAAGGGACTTTCTCAGATCTGGCCTCACACCTGGGGGCGTATCTGTGCTGCAGCTCCCAGAGCCAGCACAGCTTCCCCTCCAAGTCCAGCAGGAGCCTGGAGCGGAGCCGGGAACACCCAGCACTGGCATTCCCAGGTTCTGCCATCAGGCTGAGTTACCTCTCCAAGGAGCAGGATTCACACACCCCTCCCAAATCACAGACACGCCCACGGGGCTCCCACAACCAACCCCTGGGCCCCTCCCGCCACTCCAAAGCCTCCCTTGCTCCTCAAGGGTTCATGCTGAAATCCCCAAAACTGCTGGGCTTTACTGCCTGCATGTCCCAGAGCCATCCTGGGCTGTGACACATCTGTGGGCCACACGACCTGAGCGACCCCCCTGGGTGTCCCCAGCCTTCCCCACCCCGTGTGAGCAGCGTCCCTGGGCCCCCCTGGCGTGGGTTACCTGCGTGACGAGGGGCTGCAGCAGCGCGGCCGAGCCCTTGCCCACGCAGCGCACGGCGAAGCGCAGGCAGCGGCAGCACCGCTCCACGATCCGGTTGTCGGCACTGTGCTTGTTCAGGGTCTCCGACAGCACCGGCCAGATCTGGGCATGGGCAGGCAGGGAAGGGTCACACACACACACACACACACACACACACACACACACACACACATCCCTACCCCCTCCCAACTCCCTCCTGATCCCCGAAACATCCGAATCCCAGCGCGGGCAGGCGGCCGCGGGAGAAAAGGAACTTTCCGGGGAGCTTGGAGCGGGTTTGTTCCCTCTGGGGCAGCGCCAACGGGATACGGGCAGGGAAATCAGAGACCTGAGATCCAGGGCCCCTTCTGGGAAGTCAAGATACAAATTTCCCGCCATCCCCCCAGCCCCTGATTCCAGGAGGGATGGGACAGCACTCCCCAGCTCCTCTGCCCTGGGCAGAGGCACCATTGGACACGTGGATCTGCCAACACCCAGGGACAGTGACCCTGTATGACACCCCCAGAACCCCCACCCCCTGAACCCCTCCGAGCCCCCTTCCCAAATCCCAGATGCTCCCACGCACCTCCTGAATGACTTTTTGGCACGGGTGGACCTGGCCGTTCTCGACAATGGGGTTGGTGTGTCTGTGGGAACAGCCAAGGATTAAGGGGGGTTGGTTGGGATTAAAGCCAAGGAAATAGATTGGAGCTGCAGGAAGGGGACCAGGAACAGGTTTGGGGGGCTTGAGAGCTGGAACTGGGGGAAGCAGCAGCTTCCAGCCCGTTCCCCAAGGGCTGGGGAGAAGGAGCCGGCACAGATTCAGGGTCAGGGCTCTGGGGGAGCAGCCCTGCCCCAGATGTGCTCCAGCTCCTCCTTCCTCACCTGAAGATGACGGCGAGTCGATCCAGGGGCACTGTAGGGTCTGAGGAGAGGCCATTGCTTGGCTCCTGAGAGAGCAGCTGGAAAACAAGGGAAAAGGATGGGATTTCAGGACCACAGGCAGCACAGCTGGCCCAGCAGTCCCGGTCTTGGCCACACACAGAGGGTGCCCTGACAGCTCAGAGGCTTCTCCCTGGGTTTCCTCCAGAGCCTGTTCCGAGGGGTCTCAGAGGAGCAGGGTGGGAGGCGGAAGGAGCCAGCCAGGGGGTAGGGGCCACAGGAGGAGCTCCCCAGAACCATGGGCACATCCTCTTCCTGAGGCTTCCCTCCCTCCTCCTGCCATCCTGAGATTTCTACTCTGTTCTCCTGGGTCTGCATGGAAAGGTCACTCAGGCCAACAGAGTTCCGGGACAGAACACGACCTTTTGGGGCTCTGTGTCCCACAGGGAAGTTGATTTCCATCCTGGAGAGACAGGGTGGAAGCTGCCCATGACACTCAGTGGGATCAGGAAGGCTCCTGGGCTCCTGGCACAGAAACTGAGTTCCAGGGATCATTCCATTTCCATGTAACACAGCACACACCACCAGCTTGGTGCTTCCCTGTCAGGGGAGACTTAGGGATGGGCTTGGTCCTGGACTCATCCTGTGTGAGGGCTGGGCTCTGCTCCCAGGGAACAAGGCACAGGGTGAGAGGAAACGGCCTCAAGCTGTGCCAGGGGAGAGTCAGGCTGAATATTGGGAAAACTCCTTCAGGGAAAGGGTTGTCCAGCCCTGGCACAGCTGCCCAGGGCAGGGGTGAAGTCCCCATCCCTGGAGGGATTTCAAAGCCCTGTGGATGTGGCACTTGGGGACACGGGTTAGTGGCAGCCTTGGCAGTGCTGGGGAAACATTGGACTCGACAGGGCTCTGGGGGCTTTTCCAAGCCAAACAATTTTGTGCCTCCAGGATACACCTCTGGCTCTGAAGACACAGTGGCTGTGGCAGGGCTGGGGCGTGGGCAGCCACTGTCCCTCCCAGCTGCTGTCCCCACCGTCTCCCCGCTCTGGACGCACCTTTTTGAGCGCCAGCACCTGCACGGCGCAGAGCTCGCTCAGACACTCCGCGATCTTCTCCAGGGGCAGCCGGGCCAGCACCAGCGCCGTCCCTGCAAGGACACGGGAGCTCAGGAGCAGGGACACAGCATGGGGGGGTGATGACATTCCCAAATGGAACAGCACCAGGAGAGGGCAGGGAGTGGGAGGGTTTCCCTGTGGTTGAACCAGCGGGGTGGGAAGCAATGCCCACATGTCAGGCAGATGGGACACCACCAGCACATCTGGACCCCCTGGGATGTCCCCCATGTCCCTGTGCCGGCCCAGCAGCACCAAGATGCCCTGGGAAGTTCCAGGGAAGGTGTTTCAGGGCTCCCAGCCACGGAACATGAGGAGCACTGAGCCACTCCCGCTCTCCCATGGGCAGCTGTGGCACAGCCTGGCTCTGGCATTCACGAGGCTGCTGCGGTGCCAACAACACCAGGGGGACATCTCCCTGGTTCAGGAATTCCTGGCATTGTTCTGAGGGAGGGAATGGAGAGGAGAAGCTCTGCTGGTGCTGCTGCATTCAGCCAGGACTGCACACGAGTGGGACAGGGGGAGTTGTGTCTCCAGCCCCAGGAAGGCTCCCCGGCACACGCTCCAGAGCTGCTCTGGGTTAACGGCTCCAGTGGCACATGAATCCATCGGGAATCTTTAAGGCACATCCCCAAAACCAGCTGTGGCTGAAGAGGTACATAGTGCCCAATGCTCAGTGAGATGCCAACGCTCCCAGTGCAAACTGGAGTTAAAACCTCCATTCTTGGGCCCCAGTTCTCTAAAATCACCAACACTCCTGATTTTCCACCCTCTGTGTCCAGCAGCTGATTCCCAGTGTACGGATGAAGCACTGACCCACAGTCAGCCTGGCTGGCAGCAATTCCCATGTGCTCTCTGCACAGGTCCAGCCCCGAGATGCTCCATGGGATGGGGACAGTTACCAATCCCAAAGGATTTACTTCTGTCTCCTGCCCCAAGGAAGCTGCTGAGGAGACTCTGAATGTGCAACGTGGCTCAGGGCACACTGGGACAAACCCTGTGAGGATGGGGCTCAGCACTCTGGGGAGCAATCCCTATGGATACCCCAGCAGTTCCCCACGGACACTCCCTCTGATCCCGCAGATCCCAGGGATCCCCGTCCGTGCCGTACCCTTGAGCAGCCCCACGGCGGCCTCGGGAGACAGCGCGAAGGAGTCGAGGGCACGGGCGATCTCCAGGAGGCCGGAGAAGTGCTGGGCCATGTGGTCCCGGCACACGGAGCAGATGTTGTGGATGGCCTTGGCGGCGGCCGATGCCAGGCGCCGGTCACAGAGCCCCTTCATCAGGTAGCCGAGCACGGGATCTGCGGAGACAACGGGGTCAGGGGGGAGCAGCGGGCGCGGCGGGGGCGCGGCGGGGTCGCGCGGCACTCACCCAGGAACTGCGGGTTCCTGTCCACCACCTCGCTCATCTCGCCCACCAGCTCGATGCTGGTGTAGCGCACGGCCGTGTGCACCGACTCGGGCAGCCGCACCACCCCCTCCAGCACCTCCACCAGCGTCGGGTTGTTCTCCCTGCGGGAAAGGCCACCGGATGAGCCCCCGGAGCCAGGAATGGCAATCCGAGGGCCCAGGGAAGGGAAAGACAGCATTTCCAGCCCAGGGAAGGCCAGCCAGGCTGTCACACTGATGGCAGTGCCCAGGACTCGCTGCACTCACTGTCCTGAGTGTCACCTGTCCTTATGCTTCCAATAACAGGGGAGGAAAAAGACTCCCTGTGATTTAACCTTCCATAAAGATATCTAGGAAAATTCTACCCAGAGGTGGGAAGATCTGGATGTGGAAGGATCCACAACGAACAGTTTAGGTTGGAAAGAACCTTAGAGCCCATCCAGTGCCACCCCCTGCCATGGGCAGGGACACCTTCCACTAGCCCAGGGTGCTCCAAGCCCCATCCAACCTGGCCTTGGGTACTCCCAGGGATGGGAATGTCCTTGGGATATCTGTGTTGTCTCTGTTACACTGAGGCAGCCCCAGTCCCCTCCCAGCCCGGGGTGGGCTGTTGGCACTCACTGGTCGACGCTCTTGGCTATGGAGGCCATGATGAAGAGCACGGCTTCCGTCACCTCCCAGGGCGGATTCCCATCCTTCAGGGTGGCGTAGAGCTGCGGGGTGGAGGGTGCAGTCACCGGGGGAGCCAGGAACCCAGGGCAGTCTGGCCACCAATCCCACCCTGCGAGGTGGCCTCACTCCAGAGCTCCCCCTCCCACTCCACCCACCAAGCCCCCTGGTCCTCAACACCCCCACTCTCCAAATCCAAAATCCTCATCCCCTGCCCAACCCCTCCTGCTGCTCCCACACCTCCTGCTCTCCCTGACAAGTTCCCCCCTCACACTTCCTTGTGCACAAGCAGGTGTGTGTGTGACCTCCTCCCGGCCCAAAGGTCACCAGGGCTCAGTGACCTCCGGTGGGACGTGCCCGCACCTCGCGACGCTCCCCCAAACCCACCTGAGCAAAACACTCCACGGAGCCCACCAGGAAGATCAAGTCTTTCACCAGGTCCGAGACGCGCATCCGGAACTCCCCGAAGTCATCTGTCTCCTCTGGGACACCCTCCTGAGGGAGAGGAGGGAGAGCACAAGGCTGGGGGCAGCTCAGGGGAATTCGGGTTCCCATTCAGCCACAGCCAGGTTTTAAGGAGCTCCATCGTTCCTGCCCTCCTGCCCCAGACCAGCCTGCCTGAGGGATGGGAGAGCTGTGCCCAAGGAAAACGTGAGCAGCCTGAGCACACATGGTGTATTCCTGCTCTGACGGGCAGAGGAAGGGACGGGAAGCAAGGAGGAGGAGAGGGAAGGAGGATAAAAAATCCCACACTGCACAGAGGAAGATGACAGTGCTGTGTCTGGCCAGCCATGCGAGCTTTATCACAACAAAACTGCCCCGAGCTGGGACAACGCAGCCAAGCAAGAACTGACTGACAGAGAGAGGTTTAAGGCAGCACATTTAATCCCTCTCACTCCTCCCTGGCATTGCTGCAAGCACGGGACGCTGCCCTGCAGAGCTCCAGGGCTCCAGAGAGCCCCCTGGCATGCACAGCCAGACACATCCCACTGTCCTGGCTGTTCTACAGGGACACACACATCCCAGGGACATGTCCCCTGCCCCAGCTGTTCCAGAGGAGACCGTACGTGGTCGGAGTCGAGCTGGCAGTGCCGGGCCAGCGCGTGGAGCAGGCGCTGGATGTAGGCTTTGAAGATGCTGTGGATGACGGCATCATCTGTCTTGTACAGGTGCTCCCCCAGTCGGTACCAGAAGTTGAAGGAAATTTCTACTACCTGTTTGGAAAGAGAAATCCAGCGTTTTGTTACCAGCAGCACATTTTTTTCCCCCGCTCTGCCGGTGCTCCCAATGGAGGAACCCTCCCTGGGGGGTTGGTGCCCACAGGCCTCCATTGGTGCTGCTGCGTCACACGACGGTGACAAGGGGATCAGCTCCCCCAGATCCATCCATTTCTCTGCCTGTCACTCAATGAAGGGTTTGGAACACCCCAGGTCACTCTGAACACCTGCCCCACCTGCCTCTCCTCCGACCCAGGACCACCCTGGAGCAGGGTCCATGGCTCTGGGAGCAGCTCAGGCTGGAAGCAGACGCTGCTCCACGGCCCCTTTGTTGTGGTTTTTTTTATTTACTGTGTGGTTATTGCAGAAAAACCACAAGTGCAGATTTGCTCAGGAGCAGCTGTAGAACTCCATGGCCCCCTCAGCGCTGCTGGCACAGGACGAGGTTGTAGCCAAGGAAAATTGGGCTTAACAGAGTTGGAAAGGAAGGAAAAGGGTCCTGGGGACCGCAGTGAGCGCTCGGGGCCTCTTGGGGCACAGCTCTACACCTTCCACGGCAAACGAGCCACGCACTGAACACAGGCAGGGATCAGCTACCGGGAGTGAACTAACAGTTTGGGAACAATAAAAGGATAAAGAATTAAATAAAGGATAAAAAGAGACCAAGCCTTAACAACGCGCTCCGTACCTAAGGCAGGGGCGGGAGCTTCGATGCTGCTGAACCAACGTTTCAGTCACTCACAGGAGCCACAAATCCCCACCAAGCTCAACTTTAACACGTGGAAAAGCACTAAGAGGGGTTTCAGGGCTGTGCTGGCAGTCCCAGACAATCCAGGGCACTAAGCCACAGTCCTGCCCACAAGCACAGAGTGGGCGTTCCAGAGCCACAGCTCACAGGAACCAAAAGCATCGACCACGTGGCGACAGAAGAGAGAGATCTCCCACTTTGGCCCAGCTCTGGAGGGTGGGATGAGGTGAATATTCAGGATGAGGGCGAGCAGAGGGATGTGGCTGCACCCCACTCACCTCGTACTGTGGGTGCCCAGCGCAGATAAGCAGCAGCTCCAGCGTTCGCAGGTCGCCCAGGCCCTGCCCTGGGGTGCACACGATCTTGTCCAGGAAGGTCTCGCACAGCTCGGTGAACACACGGCAGTAATTGAGCACCCTGGAGAGGGGAGAGCACAGGGCTCGGGTGGGATCATCCCCAGGGCCTCGGGTTGGATCATCCTCAGGGCCTGGATCACCCTCAGGGGCCAATACCCCAGCGTGGGGCAGGGCTGGGCTGGAACACGCCCAGAGAAACCCCAACTTCTGCTTTGTCAGCGGCTGGAAACGCTGAACCAGGGGAAGTTGGTGCAAACACCAACTTTTTTGCAATAGGCAAATCTGTTGCAGTGTTGACCTTGTACTTCTCCAAAAACCCTGTGCCAGGTGTCAGGGCTGATGGTGTCACTGCGATACAGCTGAGTGCCGCCCAGCCCTCAGAGGGGCCATGGGGCAGAACACAGAGACACAAACCTATTTCCAACAACAAACCCAGGATGTCCCTGTGTGGAACAGCTGCCAGGCACAAACCCAGCCTGGGGGCTGGGCTGAGCATCCAGCCCTGCTCGGCTTTGGGATCCCAGAGCAGAGGGAAGAGGGAACAACCTGAGCCACACATGGCATCACACCCAGGGCACCTCCTCACATCGGCCCTTTGCGGGAGAGGCCCGAGAGAAGCCATTACTTTTGGGTTTTGGTTTAACATTCTCGTTCTGGAGAGCTTTAGGAAATCCCAAAGTTCCTGAAGGTGAAATCCCTTTTCTCCAAGCTGAGCCCCCCCCCAGCTCCCTCAACCGTTCCTGCTGCTCCAGCCCCTTCCCAGCTCTGCTCCCTTCCCTGCACACGCTCCAGCCCCTCCATGGCTCTCCGGATGGGAGGTGCCCAGAACTGCCCCCAGGATTCAGGGTGTGACCCCACAAGTGCAGGGACAGGCCCTGGCCCAGCCCCACCACTGCTGCTGCTCCTGGCACTGGTCTCTGGTTTGGAGCTGACACAGCCCCAGCCAGGTCAGTGCTGCCCTGCCCGCCCCTCACAGGTCGCCATCCCTGTCCCTCACTTGTCCAGGTCCTCCCGGGCCACAGCCATGTGGTAGGCACTCTCGAGGGTGAGGACGCCCTGGAAGAGCTGCAGGGCCAGTGGCAGGTTGGTCTCCACGTTCTCGATGGCGTAGAGGGCCGAGCACACACAGTCCGACGCTGCCTCGTGCAGGTTGGATGAGGTCTTGTCCTGTTGCTGCAAGACGCGGGAGCCCAGTGATTATCAAGGAATCAGGGAATATCCTGAACTGGAAGGGATCATTGATCCAGCTCCTGGACCTGCACAGACATCCCAACAATTCCACCCTGTCCCTGAGAGCGTTGTCCAAATGCTCCCTGAGCTCTGGCAGCCTTGGGGCTGTGCCCACTGCCCTGGGGAGCCTGTTCAGTGCCAACCACCCTCTGGGGGAAGGACCTTTCCCTGAGATCCAACCTGAGCCTGCCCTGGCACAGCTCCAGCCATTCCTTGGGTTCTGCCCTGGTCACCAGAGCAGAGATTGGAGCTGCCCTTCAGCTGCCCCAACTATAACATGAAATCAAGACAGGAATGAAGCCCTCATTTTTTTATGTTCCTCAAATGCTTGGATTTGACCTTGGAAAATCTGTTCCAACCCAAAGGATTCCACGGAAACATTTTGCAGAGGTCCTGCACAGCCACAGCCCCCCACAGCTGACCCCTACCAGCCCTGCAAGCTGCTTCCCTGGCCACTCCAGGTCAAACTGACCCTTTCCAAGAGACCCCAGCGACTTCCCTGGCAAAGACAGGAGCAAAAACGCCAGCTGGAATCCAGGGCAGCTCCAGAGCAAGGAAAAACCATCGTGCTGTTCACCACCTGGCTGGGCACAGAGCCACCACTGCCATTCAGAGGGATGGGAATTGGGGAGTCCTCAGTGGGCATGGAGACAAGATCTGTCACAGGCACGTGTGGAATACTGAACAGGGATGGTCTTGGGGGGGTCAGGGAATGTCGGGAGTGGTGACTGTGTGAGGGGGATTCACGGGCACTTTCCCAGCTTCCTGGAGTCCCATCCAGCTGGGGAGGAGACAGGACATGCTGAGAAGGAGGAGGGAGAAAACAGGGAGGAAACAAAGGAGCAGAGACTCTTTTTGAGTCCTTTTGAATGAGAACTCCCTGGATTGGGGAAACAATTCCTGGTGCCACTGGAGGTGGGAAGGGAGGAAGGAAAAATGCCCGATTTAAAGCGCTGTTAACACACTAAACAAGCTGCTGAGCCCCACGGCCTGTCCTGGGGGTGGCTCCAAGCAGAATCCTGCATTATTCCTTGGGGGTCCTTATTTGCCTTTGTCATGGATTGAATCATGAGCAGGAGGGATCCTGTGGGAGAAGGGGAGGAGGGACAGACAATCCCTGGCTGCAGCAGAAACCTCAATTCCTTGATGGCTCCATTCCCTGCCCCCACCTCGTACCCCCCAGTTCCCGGGAAACACTCACCAGCACCTCGAAGAGGAGGGACAGCAACTTGCTGTTGGCCATGAAGGTGCTGTCCAGGACACCCAGGTTGAACCAGCTCCCCAGGCACCGGAAGATTTTGATGAGCATCTTCTCCTCATTTCCTGCCTTCTCCACACACGTCACCTGTGGGGAAAACACCAGAGAACCCATCAGGATCCCACATCCCACTGGTGATCCACAGCAAAAAAACATTCCAAAGCAGGCTGCTCTCCACATCCCCCTCTCCAGTAGCCCTCGACCTGTCGAGAGGGAGGGACAGAGCCAAGACCCTCTGTCAGCTCCAGCTGCTGCCACAGGAGCAGGAAGAGCATTTGGAGCGTTTCCCTCATTCCCAGCCCAACAGGTTCCCGCAGGATCCCATCTCAGACCGTCTCACAGGGACATTCACATGTGACAAACCCCGATTTAATCCTTCTCCCCACAAACCACCTGCAGAGAGAAGCTGGTGCTGAGGGACACTCTGAAGACAGAGCAGGGATGTGGGATGGCAGCAGCTCATTCCCAGTGCTGGCCCTGGCCAAAACCTCTGTTGAGCCCCAGCTCCACCAGCAGCCCTGCCCAAAATCCACACCAATGGAAGCCCCCAGCCTTGCCAGGCACAGGGAAAAGAGGAAGAAGTGGAGAGGCAGGGCCTGGAGAAGGATCCCATATCCCCTAATGCAGGAGAGCTTCCAGAGATCCATTCTCCCCACTTGATGCTTCGATCCTGAAGGTGGAATGTTGGACCTCATCGCAGTCCTTGGAACACTGTTTTCACACCCCCCATATTGTAACTGAAAAAAGGGAATTTGGCACTTAAATTCCACACAGAAAATGTCAATTTGGCTCTTCAGGCAGGTGGCAGAAATGCCTGTGCTGGGATTGAGAGGGAAAGCTCAGGACAGCTCCAGGCAGGTGCAGAGGGAGCAGGAACAGGAAGTGTCTGGCCCTTGGCAATCCTGTCCCGGGAAAAGCTGGAGATGGCTGTGGGGACAACATGGCCTGGGGACTCGAGGAAGGTGAAAGGAGTTTCAGACTGAGTGAGGACTTGCTCAGACAACTTATCCCAGGAACAGGTGGAGCCAGGTTGCCCCAGCGGCTGTGGCAGCACTGGCAAGGATCTCCACTGGGATAAACATGGAATGGGGGAAGAGAATCTTCTCAAACAACACCTGAGCTGTTGCTGAGCAGATGACACAGCTCAGCTCTGTGTCCTGAGACACAGGACAAAAGAAACAGCCTCAAGCTGTGCCAGGGGAGATTTAGGTAGGATACTGGGAAAATTCCTTCCTGGAAAGGGCTGTCCAGCCCTGGCACAGCTGCCCAGGGTAGGGGGGGAGTCCCCCTCCCTGGAGGGATTTCAAAGCCCTGTGGATGTGGCACTTGGGGACATGGGTGAGTGGCGGCCTTGGCAGTGCTGGGGAAGGGCTGGACTCGATGGGCTCCGACCATCAGGAAATTCCATGATTCCCTGAGCGTGGCTGGGTGCTGTGGAGCTCACCAGCAGCGACACAACGGTGCTGGAGTAGTAGGCCAGGTCCTCGATGATCTCGGTGCGGCGGTTGGCCCCGATCCGCAGGGACCGGCTGTGAACCTCCTCGGGCAGCACCGTCAGGATCTCCAGCAGGAACGGCAGCGATGTGACGTCATTGCTGTACCTGGGGGGCAGGGGGAGGCACGGGGGGGACTCCTCAGCTCTGGGGAACGGCACACCAAGAGCCCAGAGGGACGTCCCGGCCCACGGAGAGAGATGGGGCTGGGTGGGCTTTAAGGTCCCTTCCCACCCAAACCATCCCACGATTCCACGATTCCAGAGGACTCAGCCCTGCCCATGGGGCACAGCCCTGCTGAGAGGAGTCTCAGCCCAAGGATTTCCAACAGAGAAGGGACAGAAGCTTTCCCAGCCCACGAGTCCGAGTGCCACCAGGCGGACAAATCCCACCTCCCCCTGCTGCCCTCAGACAGGGGGTCACCTCAGTGTCGGTGTCACCGTGCAGCAGGGTGTGGCACCCCGTGGGGGACACCTGGGGACACCCCACAGTGACCAGCTCCAGCCTCGCTGCTCCATCCCACCGGGGCTGAAGCCAGAGGGTGAGGGATCATCCCTAACAAAGCAGGGATGAGGGAAAGCGCTGAGCCCCAGGGCTGGGAGCAGGGAAGCGTGAACAGAGCTGCTCCAGAGCCACAAGCAGCCCCCGTTGCCACCATCCTGGGCACGGAAATCAGGGATCCAGGGGAGAAAACTTCCTTCTCCTGGCCCACACGGGACCGCCTGCCCACTAGGAACAATTCCAGGTTCGGAGGGAGAACAGGCACTCACTTCTCCACCAGTGTCTGCACACAGCCCTTCCACGAAGCCATCTGCAGGGCGAGGTCGGCGATGGCCAGAGCCAGCTGGGGGGAGTGGGGAAAACACGGATCAGTGCGGGCATGGCTGGAATGTGCCGGGAGAAAGGGGCTGCAGGGCTGGCAAGGAACTCCGGAATCCACCCCCAACACCTCTGCCCATGCCCAATCCCACCACCCTGAGGGGTGGCATTCCCTGCTGGAGCACTTAGGAGTCAGACAGGCACCCTGGTCTCAGCCTGGAGGTGGCAGATCCCCCCCACCTCCCAGGAATATATGGATAATGGGAAGGAAGGCAGTGAAGAGTGCAGAGAAATCCCCCTGGACACCCAGGGCACTGCCAGGTTGGGTCTTCCTGGCAGAGCACAGGGAGGAGCTGTTGCTCCTTTCCAAACAGCAAAAGAAGATCCAGTAATGGAAGTGACCAAAGGAACCAGGAGATGAAGGAGGGAGAACAATCCCATGCCAGGCTGGGAGCAGGGACCAGCCATCCCTGTCCTCCAGCCCAGCAAACAGCCCTGGGAGCAGGACACAGAGGGAGCAGCTCCCTCCCCCCTGCCAGCACCCACCTGTGTGACAATGACTGGGGACAGGTCCTTCAAGTTCTGGATGTGGGACAGCAAAGAGTCCCGCAGCGAGGCGTGGGAATCCGTGGGGAGCTCGTAGAAGGAAGTTTGGATCTTCATCTTCATGGTCTGCGCCGCGAAGTAGCAGGACTCCACATCCTGGTGGATCTGCAGCAGCTGGTCCGAGATCTCCCAGGCATGGACCTGTGGGAAAAGCAGGGCGTAGTCAGAGGGACAGCACCGAGGGGTCAGGGGGCTGCAGACACAGCCCAGACCCCCATGGAGACACAGCCTTGTCTGCTGCAGTGAGCCCAGGGGAGGCCATCCAGGAGATGCTTCCAGGGTTGGAGTGGTCATTGGGTGGTCGTTAAGGTCCCTTCCCACCCAACTCATTCCATGATTCCGCCACCCCCAGCACTGCTATCACTGGGAAAATCACTTTATGGGATTCCAGAAGGGACTTCCCTGAGAGGGAGCAAGGGCAGTGGGTCACGGGGCTGGAAGAGGGGGATAGTCTTCCTTTTTTTTTGCCCTTAGGGGAGGTAAAAGCCAGTTCCAACCACAGTCACGGATGGACAAACCCCACGCCCCGAAAGGAGGAGCTCCCCAAACTCTGCTCTTGGGTTCAGCGTGGTTAAAAATCCCAAGTCCAGCTGATGTGGAAACCTGGGAGCAGAACCTCAGCCAAGTCCATCAGCTTCACAGCCCTTGTCTCTGAGAGCCTTCGGGCCACAGGACTTCCCTGAGCTCGACCAGGGGGACATAAAAGGAGACAATAATCCCCTTTCCAAACATCTCCCCTGGCAGGACAGCGGTGCCAGCAGTGATGGGCTCTGCCCCCTCCAGTGCTCCAGACCCTGACCCTTCTTTCCCAGCTGCCTCCATGCCATGTGCTGTTCCCTGCTCAGTAACTCCAACATTCCAGCTGTTCCTGCCACAACACTCTCCTAACAGGGAGTGAGAGAAACCCAGAGGTACCGCTGATGGAAACACCCCCTCTGGGTTTATTTCTCCTCGCCAGAAAATTCCCCAGCTCGGGAATAAACAAGAAGTTAAGCGACTCAACACCT